CTCTCTCTCTCGCGTGGCATGTCTTATTCATGAGATTGCGCGGCGATATATTCCACGTAGCAGGCTAGATCACTTTGGGCAATTTCGCGTGGTAGTGAGAGGGATATATATCTATCTCTCATGCAGCTTGTCCTTTCAACTATTTCTTTTTTGGTTTTTCTCTGCCCGAGTTCAATTTTCCTCTGCGCGGCGGAGGTTTATCTTTCGCGCTCGCGCGGCTTTTAGGACACACACGAGGCTAGCGATTATCGCGTGCGTTGCATGTAAGTCAGTTGCTTAAGATAGAGTGGATTATTATTGAGAGAAAGATTTGATGTATGCGAATCGTGCATTGACGCTATCGCCTCCCAACTGCGAATTATTGCTATATCCAGTATATAATACGCCCGGGAGCGCGCGATGTCTTGATTTTTTTCCTTCCTCTTCGCTGCCTCCTTGCCCTTTCCTCGATATCTGGGCACGTTCGACGCGAGCATTATATTGCTGGTGTAGTCCGCGTGTATGAATTATTTTCAGACCATCGTCTATTTCTATACTCTGTGAACAATTTGGCAAAGTTTTGGCGTTAAAATATTACCTGCTGTCTGATCGTTATTTTAGTCAGGCGTCATTTACCGTAGTCTAATGCAATCGTCAGCATACTCGAGTCCAATTGTATGGGCAACGAGGAGTTTATTAATAATTCTTACGCCTCGCTTGCATTTCGCTAGGGTAGGCATACGGTGTTATTTATCGGTTGGGTTCTACCGATTTAAAATCGAAACTAAACAATGCGCGGGCAGTGGGTTTTGGCTAGAAAGGAACATCGATCGTCAACGAAGGATTATCCGAGTGGATCCGACAAGTTGTTTGGCAAACCCATCGGAGGCCCGACAATCGCTCGTCAGTTTGCCCATACAGCGAAGGAAAGGAAGAAAAAAAAAGAGCGCTGCGCTATATAGAGGATTGGCTGAGAGTGAATTCCGAGAAAGGCGAGAGCGCGCGCTTCAAGCCGACAAGTTCAAGAGTGAGAGATCCTCGCGAGAGAGGGAAAAATGACGATGAGCGCACAGGCCAATGAACACACAAGCGTGCCTGACCTCGGCTTCAGGGTCCTTTCGACTATTATCTTCCGCTCTCAAAGAGATGCCAAGGTCGAGCTCGCGCTGCAGCTCCAATTCGCCTTTGCCAATGCAAACGAATTTGCGCTCGCTTCCCTCGCTCGCGCGCCCGTACGCGCGCTTTTTTTCTGGCCCACACTTCTGATTGATTGGCCTTTTTATTCTTATCGTTCGCCCAACAGAATGATTACTCTTACTCCCGAGAGCGAGAAAGAGAGGGAAGAGAACTGCTTGCTCACCAAGGTTTTCGCGCTCATGATTCATTGCAAATTTCTGCATGCCACTTTTGTAACATATATTATGCTAATTCTCTTTTTTTTTTCTCGTTGGCCCCTTTCGCGCGATGTATACATTTGATCATTTATGAATTTCAGAGAGAGAGAAAGAGAGAATTGTACATTGTTATCGAGATGACGTACTTCCGGCAGATGATTGATGAACAACTCTTCTCATTTCTTTTTATATTTTAAGAGACGAACAAATCAAGTAACGTGATTGATATCGACGTTATTAATTGTTTCTTTGCGATAACGTATTTTTCGCTAATTGCCTGCTAGAAAATAATAAAGTTCGAAGTGTAAAGAAATAAAAAATTCAAAGTGTTATTACGCTGTACACTGCGTTTAATTAGTCAAATAAAAAAAAAAGAATGAATTGCGACCGCCGGTTTTTCTCCTACATAGAATTTATACGTGTAGGCGGTAAATTATTCGTTGAGGGTGAATGGGGAAGGAGTTGGCAATTTATACGTCGGATAAGGTCAGGCAGCTCTTGGGCGTATGTGTAGCGTGCGCTCTATACTGTATATAATGTAAGGAAAATAAAGTGTTTCCGATAAGCGAGGGCCTAAAAGAGAGCATATACGCGTCTCTAAAGAGAAGCCTTTAGAATAGTTGATTGGCACGAATTGGGTTCTGCGTCTGCCACCTAAGATTTGTCTCGTCGCATAAATATTTAATGATTGCAGTACGACTACGCTTGTGCTTATACATAGTTGCCATGTGAAAAAAAGAACGATCGCGAGTGTGTATATGGTTTATTCGGCGCGCTCCACGAAGAGTAAGAGAGAGAGAGAGAGAGAGAGAAAGAGAGAGAGAGAGAGAGAGAAAGAGACAAGGTGAAGCTCGAGTCAATGTACGAGGGAGTCACTGGCCGCACGAGGCTTGGCTCACAATTCACTTGCGTAGCCGCTTCTCTCGCTCGTTTTATTTTACGAATATGCCATTGCGAGAATTAATTATGCCGACAAATTGAGCATTAAATTGCGTCAAGGAAAGTTGAACGTCTTAATAATGAAGTATCTTGGAATACAATTAAGTTCAATTGATTCAAAAAATTAGCCGATAGCCGAATTCCGGTCAATGATCAAATGGCATGTATGCCGAGCTCAAGCGATTGTTCAAACTACGTCATGTTTTGCCGAACAAGACAAAGAAACAAACTTTTTTTTACGACAGCAATCACTCCATACATAATGCATAAGCGAGTCGAATTGCCGCGAATAAATCTAGCTCGCAGGCGGGCGCAGCTTCCAAAAGCCGTAAAATTATTGGTCGAAAGGAGAGAAGGCGAAAGCTTGCTGCCAATTTGGAAAAAAAAATGGCCATTAAAAATACAAGTAATTAAACGGGGACGAAAGCGCAACGCTCACAGAGAGCCCGAGTGAGAGCTCGAGCAGTTACTTTTCATTGACAAATAAAAGGTGTCCGAAAATGCTCAGCCGCGCCCGCGATCTCGCGACGCTTTGTAATTTAATTTTAAAAAGTCAGGCTTTTATTTACGATCGGCTTGGCTTCGCGATGCGGTTGCGCACCTGGCGATACATTGTAATTTGGCCGAGCCTACAGAAGACTCGTCGTCTCGAGCAGTGTGGCCGTAAAATAAAATCTTTCATTTGTTTTTGCGAATAAAAATGGCATTGACCTGTCGACGCGTATCGACCGTGTGCGTGTGTTCGTGGGATGCTCTCTGTTGTCGCACCCGATACACGTTATTAAAGTCATATTGACCCTCGAGGTTCTGCGCTCGTGCTCGAGCGAGCGTCGGCCAAGCGGGACTGTAACTGGCAGTGGCGTAAATAACGAGTCTCCTGTTTTTCGACACTTTTTGTTTACAATGGAGATGTAAATTCAAAAGTTTTTTTCGCGAACGTTCGAAAACTTGGCCGCACATAGTTTATATTTAAACCCGGTGTCTGTTGCGTGACTATGCATTCACTTTTGTACTGCATCAATCAGTTCACTCCTGAAATAAAAATATTTTGATTAACGTACGACATTGAATTGTAATAGATATGAACATTTTCAGAGATTTAAAAATGGAAAATATCATGCTGAAAGACAAGAAAACCCGGTGGATTAAAATAATTGGTAATTGGTTTTCTTATTAAAAATTATGTGAAAAAAGAGAACTGATTTGAAATAAAAACCACGAATTCAATTACAGACTTTGGCCTTAGCAATACATATGACGAAGAAAATCTTCTGAAAACTCTGTGTGGTTCACCAGAGTACGCAGCACCAGAGCTGTTTGTAAAAGGTAGAAGATACGGGCCTGAGGTGGATTTGTGGAGCTTGTAAGTCTATACAATAAAGCCACGTGTCTTTTCTATTTTACGAAGAATACATGTTTTAAATGCAATGTCAAAAGTGCACGTAAAACGAGCTTGTTCCAAGCGACCTTGTACAAATGCATATCTCTGCTCACGTGAATCGCAAAATATCATAAGCCCGTTGTAAAAGCTGAGTTTTACATTGAACTGCTAAAAGCGTTTGTATGCTGCGTAGAGATGTCATAAAATAATTTAATTTCCTGACAATGTATTAATGGCACAAAACAAAAGAATGAAAAAGAGAAAAAAAAGTGATGGCGCGCTCGTTTATTTAGAGGAGTAATTCTGTACGTGATGGGCACGGGCCGCCTGCCGTTCACGAGTCCCCGAGACGAGTCGAGTTCGGCGGACGAGCGTCGCCGGCGGCTGATGGTGCAAATTAATCGAGGCATGAGCGCGCCCCAGGAGCGGCTCATCGTCACCCTGTCCGACCACTACAAAAACTTGCTGAGGCTCGCGCTCATGCCAGTCGCCCACAAGAGAATTCGCCTCGGCGAACTACGCCGGCATCCGTGGATGTCTGACGCCTCGGCAAACTTTACCACCGACAACTTCCAACTTTCTCCTGACGAATGCCGGGTGGTGATGCTTCTTATATATATTTATTCTAGGCGTTCGATCAGCCACACATTCTTTCCTTTTTTCTTATCGATAATCGTTCATTGCAAAAAAAAAAAAATTCTCCCACCAGATTGTGAAGGAAATTTCAGTTCTTGTGGGCACTGATTGCTTAGAAGTCAAGATGGATATCATCAATCGACGATTTGAAAATATTGGTGGAATGTATAACATCATGTAAATTATCGATCTTCCACTCGTTCTGCCTTTTGATTCTTTCGTTAAAATTTGTCTTCTCAATCGTTTGTAGGACTCACGAATTGCAGCTCCAAAAATTAAGGCGTTCTAGAATCAAAGTGGATTTAGTCGATACTTTCCAAAATCTAAATAACTATGAAAGGTATACGTATAATTTATTGGAAAAAATAAAAAAAAATTTTATTTTTCGAATCATTCCAGTGCTAGTGACAAGTCATCAAACAACGTTCAAATTAATGGAACCTTTTCAAATGCAAAACACGATTGTAGGAGTAATTTTCCAATCAAAGACAAAACACAAGTTTCTTTTGTTAAAAATAAAATATTTGATTCTCGTAGAGCTGTTGCAAATTCAAAATGTGACGTAGATGAAACAAAGTACATTCCACACAATTTTAATTTACGTACTTTTTTCGGATCGTATGATCTACATTTCTCGTAGTTTTTTTAGAAAAAAGAGCGGAAAATCTATAATGCTACCATGTCTAAAGAAAATCTCTTATTCTGTCTTGAAACAAGCTGAAAGTAATAAAGTACATACAACGAAAGAACATTTTCTACAGAAACAACGCAAAGCTCAACAGGATACAGTAAAGCTTGTCAAATTTTGTCATCCTGTAACTAATCGTAAGACAGACAATAATATTGATATAAAACAACGAAATGATTGCTTCGTTGAAAAATACTCAACTTTACGGTAAGATAATATGTCTATAAATGTGTCAACATATATTACATTATCTAATATAATTATGTTTTTCAAATAACAAAGATTTCGAAAAAACACAATCGACAAGAAATCCAATATACCGAAGACATAAAGTGCCATTCCAAAAATATATAATTGACTCGAGAGTCTGTCAAAAGTTTATTTAAAGAGAAATAAATATAATCGTGTTTATATTTTTGAAAGTTGTTTGCTTCAAATATGCAATTTGCCATTGATTGTTGATTATTGTTTGAAAAAAACGTATAATATATACATTGTCTAGAAAATGAAAACCGTGATCTAGTGTGAAATTAAAAATCTTCATATAAAATTCCAGTTTACTTGGAAAATGTTTCTTTAACCAATACATAGGCAAAGATCGAAAATGTTTTATATTGCTTATTTTATTCTTCATCTTTTTATAAATTCTCTGATTATATTTCTATATAATCAAAATTTTGCTCGAATATTCCGTAACAGCCGATTAAACGAATTTCTGTGATAGGGATTAATGGTAAGGTAGATACTACGTATTTATTGCATTTTTCTTTCGTATCAACTGTAAATATACTTTTCTATATCTACGGTAACAATTCATAAGCATAACGGTAGAGGTCTCCACAACATATTTCTGTCGGTAATTTTTTCTACAACGTTTCTGAATATGAACAATTAATTTATAAAACATTTATTACAAAAAAAATAAAAATAATTAGAATCAACTACTATCGTTAGAACGAAATGTATAAAAGTAATCGTATAAAAACTAGGACAAATCGATTCAAAAGTCGCGGTAGATTTGCTAAAGCGTATATATAGAAGATCCAAAGTTTCATAATGAGGAACGGAGAGAACAGTGGAACGAAGCGACGCAACTAAAACAGATTAGAGTTAAAGGAATATTGAACGTCATCACTCATCGCAACGTTCTGGTCGTTGTTGGTACTTGGTGATTGGTGTAACATTGCTAAGAGGTCCAAATTTCTTCGATATAATTCGTTATTTATACATCAAATGTGAAATAAATAATTACAGGTAAATACATATTCATTAACATTATAAATTATTTGAGGTAAAAAGCAATCACCTCTCCAATAGACACATTTTTGCCAAACTAACCTCAAAAAGTTCTTTATTCATATACATATATATATATATATATATATATAGAGTAGAAACTTGCAGACTGTTTTCATCGATTTTCATGTCTTAATATTTTTAGTTTGCTTTCAACGCTTAATTATTGCTTAATGTTAGATTATTGTAGTTTTTATCTAGTAGAACTTACAAGAAGTGAATTATTTATATCAGAAGTAAATGAACCATTCTTCCTTTACAGATTCAAATACATCTCCTGTGGAATAAAACCAACGCTATATCGGTGAGTTTCCACACAAAATATTGCATAATTGCAAATTGGACACCAAAGTCAACTAACCATGTCTGTACAAAGTGTTGCTCTGGCATCTTTAACGGCTACCTATACTGACTCGGAGGGTGAGGATGGGGCGGATGACAACTTTCAAGATAATTCAAATAGTCCCACAGAGGCTACCGCTAGATCAGACAGATCTGCCTCAAGTAGCCCCTCCGATTCCTCAAACCATAGTAGCAAGAATAATAACTTGCCCAATGTTCCCACCTTAGTTACAGATGTAACTTCAAAGGTCCAGAGATTGGTTTCATATTTTGATGACACAGTAGTTTCTGACGATGAAGGAACTGCAGTAGCAATTTCTGAACATGTGTTTTCCATCAATGGAAGACAACATTCAGATGTTCGTGAAAAGCAGTCCCCGGATCGTCCTTTGATTTCAGATAATGAAGCAGACGAGTATGGTGTTATAATTCCTCCTGAACCCCCAAGCGCATGTCCATCCGATCTACAGGAAAAAATATCAAAACTTTATGTCAAAATGGAAGATGGTCGGTTAGACATGAATAAAGTGATTCAAAATAGAAAAGATTTCAGAAATCCTTCTATTTATGAAAAACTTATTCAATTTTGTAATATTAATGAGTTAGGTACAAATTATCCACCAGATAGGTTTGATCCATTCAAATGGTCCAAAGACTCTTATTACGAAGAACTTGCCAAGGCTCAAAAAGTTGAAATGGAGAAGTTAGAAAAAGCAAGGAAAGAAAAAACAAAAATAGAAATTGTATCAGGGACAGCTAAACGACCAAATCCAACTCCTGCTGTCACAGAAGAGGACATTAAAAAACGGAAAAGCAAGTGGGATCAAGTAGCTACAAATCCTCTCACAGGTACAGCAGTCAAACCTGCTGTGGTAACACAACCAGCTTTAACAACGTTAACGTCATCAGTCACTGGTACAAAAACTACAGTAATATCAGCTTTTGGTTCAGTACCAAAAAAAAGATTGTAAGAACATTTGCAGTGAGTACTTTGAATAATTACTTTAAATAGTTTACCATTAATTAGGTCATATTTATTTTTATTCTCACAATCTTGCGTCAAACTTCAAATCAAAGATTGAAAGCCTTTTTTAAAATAGATACTTATAATTGAAAGTGTATTCTTACATCAATCTAAATTTTATATATTTATAAATAAATCTTGAGTCAGTTTATTACACTGATAGTAAACCTTTGATTGAACTTCAAATTCTAATAAAGACTTTCATGAAATGATATAGATGATTCTGTTGGTATTTCGAGATTTATAAATTTGAAAAGTTAAATACCAATACTGCCACTGTTTTTACAATTTGTAAAAAGTTTATGTGAATTTCATCCATAAAAACAGAATAACTATATGAAACGTGACAGTGTGAATGATCAACTAATGTTATTGAATGTGAACAAGTTTGCCTTTGTAAAATATTTTTTTTTTTTTCTTTAATGAAAATGGATGACGAAATAATTAATTTTAATTTTCTATTGTATTGTACTGATGATAAGTTTTGATATTCCTCCATGTAAAAGTCCATGTGAAAAAAAAATTGTAGAACCAAACATTGCAGTTCCAAGTCTTTTTATGTGTACAATATCAAAGGCAAATACCAGTTTCTTTATAAATTGCTAAAATTCCCAATTATTTTAGTAAAATTACAGAAATTTATGAAAGAATAGATGCAGTAATTTAAATTTACCTTTGATATTTCCGTAGCAAATATTACACTATGAATTATTTTATAAATAAATATGATTTTTCAACACTCTGTACGCGAGAACTTGACTTTACGCATGCTCGAGTAGTCGAACATGCTTAAAATCTCGTCGCGTACACGTATCGAAAAACAAAAGTTAAACATATGTGCGAGGAAGTGATTTCAGTCTCGTATGGCCTCTTTACCCAAGCATCGTTCGAGCGCAAACGTCCACATAAGACTGAAATTATTTTCTGGCACTAGTATTAAAATGTACTAATATGGTTTTTAGTAAAAGATTATGTATACATTTAAATTTGATTAAGATAATAATTATTGTACTAAAAATAGAAAAAAATAACATTCTATTTGCATAAGTACAACTACAAATATTTATTTCATGAATAAAGGAATTTGTACATCGTGATAAGTGTTGTAAATAAATAATTTGTTTCAAAAATTTGTCTATGTTGTTTATGTAAATTACAACTAGGACTCGTTAATATTTTTCATTGTTATTTTATCGTACATCCGAATATATCTGCTTACTACTATAAAGAAATATTGCCATCGTCATACACACACACACACACACACACACACACATATTTTCAACCGATAAATATTGGTTAACTAGAATAATGTAAAATTATACAAATGGAGGAAAATTGACCTTCTGCTTATAAGCCCATCAAGCCAATCAAACTTTTAAGGTCTCTCATCAATACCCATAGATACACAGTTAATGGAAAAATTTCATCAGGACTTCCCTCCAATCGTTTGTTTAATAATACATTTCGATATTAGTGTAAAAAAGTAATTTCGTCGAGAGTAACGAGGGTGCTCGAAAAAATTATCTTTCACAAATATTCACGCCTAGAGTACCATTAATAAATCTTGAAATGTTTCAAATAGTGGTTTCTTCATACACAAATAAATTATCAACAAGTTTCCAATGACTGTCAGTTTATGTTTACATTCACAATAAAAAAACAAAATATACCTTAGCATAATCGAGCTAATGTGAAGAAATAACTGTTCAAGACATTCCAAAACTGATTAGTCGTAATCTAGGTATAAACATTTGTCGATAGAAAGTTTTTTAGTTTTGGTAATAATTCGTTCGTAGGGTGTGAATGTATTTTCTAAGTGTTCCGCGAAAACAGTTGCTATATCTTTGTCCGTTCTGACTTACGTCACTTTATATTTTAATATTGAAGGAATAAACTGTTGAGGTCGTTTTATTCTTTTAGTTGCCTTTTAGAGCAATAGTCTGTAGCCTCTGTGGCTGATAAGTTTTCTAAATAATTTTGTATCCCTGGTTTTTTTCCGTGTACAAAATTTCTTTTAATTCTTTAATTGATCTATTGTAATTTGTTTTATCCTGTTTCAATCTACTGTATTGCCATATAAAATACGTTTTTAAGTTGGGAATAGTATCTTACTCATAGAATTCATAAAACTTAATTAACACATTGCGCGACGATTACATCTAGTAATCGTGTCGTGAAATAAACCCTTTCTGTCAGATTGACAATAATTACGTACTTATAAATTTGCTATCTGGTAAAGCAACATAGTGTAACAGAATGGTAAGGGGGTGTACGATATCCAAAAAGTACTCTACCTAACGTATTGATATAATAATATAACAAAAAATCCGAATTATTTTTAGGAAGTACCAACCTTAAGATCTTAAAAGTTAGCACTCCGAATCAGTTTTTTTGCAATAATCAATAAACTAATTATGCCATTAGACAGTTCATCGAATATTGCAAAAAAACTGATTTCGGATGATAATTTGTAAGACTTGAATTTTAACGCTCTATTACATTATCGACTGAGCAAAAAGAGGTTTATTTGTAGATATTTTGTCTCAAACAAATAAATTAATTATGTTGAACATTTTTGAGGACATTGCACGTAAACAAATCGCGCTTAACTCTTATTTTGACGAAAAAATTCCATGGAATCAAGGAAAAAAATAATTCTATTTACAGTAATTCAAAGTTTTTACCCGATTTGCCTTTATTTTCATAAAACTAAGAGTTGGACGAATTTTATCTATATGTCATGAATATTCCCAGAAAATTTAAATATTAACTTAATTAGTTCAGTTGTTTGAGAGGAAACCTTTACAAACTTCTTTCTGTGCAGTCGATAACGCAATAGAGTCCTAAAAAATTTAGTTGGAAATTTCATGATACTATTATTAGTCTTTATTTGACAGTTCTCAAAAGTGACTGTTTTCTGTAAATTTTATAAACATGAAAAAACTTGGTCATCGTTATGTGATGCAATACTTTCATTAGAAAGGTCTTACGCGAACCAATATCAAAATGGAGTTGGACTCTACTCTTGAGACAATTGCTCCTTTATTTACAACTTATGTAAAATAATGGATGACAGTTTTTAACGTAGTAGGAGTTGCTAAGAGGAACAATACAATGAAAGATCAAAGTTCCCCACGTCAGAAATGGCTGAAAAAGTCCTAAAAATGATTTTAGAAAATACACGAGCTCGTTGTAATGGTAGGCATATTCGAAAAAGATATCCATCGCATATTGACCATAAATGTGAACATGAAAAAGCTGTGCTCGTGATGGGTGCCGTGTTTACTCACAATTAAATGAAAAAAACTTCGTAAGGATGTTTCAGTCGTGTTTCGCATCAATAGAGCCAAGTTTTCGCACTGTTTTACAACAATGGATGGAACATGGATCCACCATTAGCACCTGCGAAAAGTGAGCAATTAAAACAATGGACTAAAAAGAGAAAATCGTCTCCAAAGAAAGCGAAAATAGTTCCGCCTGCTAGCAAATATCACGGTATCGCTCTTTAGGGTGCGCGCGAGATATTTTTTATTGATTATCTTCAAAAAGGAAAAAACCATGAACGGCGAGTATTATGCGGATTTCTTGTGCATCTAAGTGACGAAATTAAAAAAAAAGGCCACATTTAACCGAAAGAAAAGTGTTGCTTCATCATAAGAATGCACCCGTCACACATCAGTCACTACGATAACTAAAACCAAAGAATTATTAAAGTTCGTGTTGCTTCCATATGCACCTTATTCACCAAATTTAACCCCTTCAAACTTTTATCTATTTCCAAACATGAAGAAATTGCACACTGGTCAACGATTTACCGACGATAAGGTACGGTTGATTGCTGTTTAGAAGAGTTCCTATTTTAAGCAAGGCATCGAAACTAGTGAACACCTCTGAAAAAAGTGTATCGAGATAAAAGGGAACTATGCTGAAAAATAAAGATCGTTTTTCTGAAAATTTTTGCTATTTGTTTGTTCGGTCGGGTGCTTTTAGGACTCGTTTCCTTGCTCCGATCGCAATTTCGTTTCTCTTCCTTGATCACGAGTCTGTGAAATTGCGAAGAAAGCGCTTGACCCTGCGCGTCAGCAATTATGCTCGGAATGTTTAGGACGGAGAGAGTTTACGCTGAGTTTATTACACGCCAAATACCAAGGAGTGAGAGAGAGAGAAAGAGAGTGGGTGAGTGAGTGACAATAAACTTGCTCCCGCAGCTGCTTACAATTCTTGGTAAAGTGCTCTCAGCAAGGAAAGAGAACAACTCCTGTTTCGTGCAGTTGCGTCCCCTCAATATTGCGGATGTCGACACGGAGATACACCTTCATGCCTGCTTCTCACAGCTACTCAACACCAATGCCACTTAGAACTATTGCACGCGCTCTTGGAGAAAAAATTTCAAGGCTTCATTGCTGCGAAAGTCCGAAAAATATTAGGTTGCGCGCGGAACCAGCTGTTATCAGTTGTCAAGGATCAGCTAGACTACCTGGTGCCCCTCTCCTCTTCATAGCACTGCCGATGTGCACTTATTTTGCCACCGTTACTCCCTGCTATATCTCTCTCTCTCTCTCTCTCTCTCTCTCTCTCTCTCTCTCTCTCTCTCTTGTTCGTAAAGCCTATTTCGTCAGCTGCCGGGATTTACGAGCTATGTAATTTATCAATCCTTTATGTGATTTATTACTCCTCTTCTTACAGCAGAAGCTAAATATATAATCGGAATTATTAATGTGCGTCGCAAAATCTGATGTTGACAAATATAAAAAACCTTCAGTACAATGCCAGGTGCCAGTGCGGCCAGAATCATTTGTATGTTCCAAATGATCTCGAGAGCATGATGCGTCTAACGATGCGCGTGTACCCCACCTCGTTAAAGCTACTTTGCTTGACCTGCGCAGCTTAGAATGAAGCGCTGCGTGGGTCCTACCCTCCTCCGTAGAGCCTTTCGCCTGTCTGAGTTATTGTCAGCAAATTTATAAGGAAATATTTCAGCAGTAAATTTCTCATCCGTACAACAATGAATTATTGAATTGAAATAATAATTGTTGTTGTTTTTCAATACAAACATTAAAAAAAAATATAATAAAAATTATATTATTTGTGAATATTAAATGTGAAATATGAATTGAACAAATTATAAACTCATCCGGATATGTAGTTTGTTTTATTGATAAATTCGCTTGCATTAGCAAATGGAATATTGTCATCAGCTTTAATAACAAATAAGCATATCTTTATCTATTTCCAAGTTCGTTCTGTTTATAAAATATTTTACTTAAAAGGAACCAACTAAAAAATTGAGTTCTTAATTTTTTATTAAAATTATCCTATTTTCACTATTTAAAAACAAGAATGAATTTTTTTTACACAGCGCTATTCATTAACTTTTTTTGTTAAAGGAAGGTTTGTTGATTAACCTTCCTGAAACCAAGTAAAAGGATCAACTCAAAGCCCTACAAGCAGAAGCTACCTGCAGCCTAAGCGGTTAAATTTCTTGCCTAAACTACTATTGAGTGAGATTTAGTATATTTTATCAACTATAAGTTTACTGAAAGTATTAGATCATTTTTCGATCTACCTTGAAAAAATTAAAAGTTCGTTCATTTTTCATCAATGGAGAGTAACAGATAGCTTTTTATTTATCATTATGATTATGCATGGTCTTAATGTTTTTAATGCATATTCATTCATGCATTTATAATATTAGAATTTTTTAATTTCATATGTAAAGGATTGATTATTACAATAAATACCTCATTTTTCATATGTCTAAAAGATATTGAAATTTTAATTGATAAAACTTAAAATAAAATATTTTCGCACTTAAAATAGAATACTTTTGCCGTTGTAGCATGTTAACAATCAAGAGCAGTAAAAATTATTTGCAAACAAATATTCAAATAGTTTCGAAAAATAGATGTAGTAATTCTTATATATAATATACCTCAGGTAACAGTCAATGCATTGAATATTTTTAATTTTGATATTAGAATAAGTTATGTAATTTTCTTTTTCGTAACATGTTGATTAAATGATAACAAAATTAAAAATGTTAATTACAGTCGTGTTTGTCATCGTGCATCATTTTTATATAATATACTACTAGTGAAACTTCAGCCGTAGACATAATTACTAGGAGTAGCATCGTACAATCTTTTTTAGCAATAAGATAAATAATGTTACGTTATACTTATTGTATTTTTCATCGAAAATCTCTATTCATTTTTCAAACATAAACGTGAAAAAATTATATATATACTCTTTTATTCAAATTTCCTAATTATATTTTCTTTCAAAACGATTCGAGTTTTCTTATCTTTTAAGTTGTAAACAGGAGATGGCATGATAAAAAAAAATTATTTTTCACTAAATATTCTAAAAATTAAAAAAATATTATTACTATCTATTGGAGTAACACAAGTTTTTTAACGATAAAGATGTCTAACTTTACTCAGACTAATAAACCATTTCCCAGACACTTTAACTCAATGATCAAAGCAATTGGGTCAGTCCAAATGAAACTGCGTATCATTTAAAAAAATCATTAGTTTTGACGACTCGTCTTTTGATTCATCAGTAGTTTGTTAAATACTTTTACTGGTTTACTAAATGTTCAAGATGTTTGTGCTATTAACTTAAGTTTCATAATTTCGTATTTTTTTGATAATATGTTCATTTCACTATTTACTGAAAATATATGCATGAAACTATGGAGCTCCTAAATTATAATATTTTTCATTTGATGTAAAACTTATATATATATATATATATATATATATATATATATATATATATATATATATATACACTATCCAACAACTAAATTTAATTAAAAAAATAATTACCTAACAGAAAATTAAACAATACGCATTACCTTCTTAAAATAACGTTTTTTACATTCAAATGGAGTACGCAATAAAAATTGCAAGCTTTAATTAACTAATTTTTCTGCCGTTAAAAGTTTACGTCATATTTCGATGGAATGTTTTACGATTTCATTGTCATTGACGAATTGTATCCCAAACTATTGCCATAAATAATCGCTACATCCTTATTCGGATTTTAAGATGGAATTTTCACGCTATTTTGATATTAGTATTGCTTAATTAATAACAATAAGAAGATAAGAATAGATATATGAAGTTGGTTAAAATTTCATATTTGGACGCTGTCAGAAATTAAATCTTAGTGGATGATATGGAAAGTATGGGAATAATTATTGAAAAACCAATATACGTGTAAAGTATAGGTCAAATCAACTCTTCCAAAATTAATGTTAGTCATTTAAAGATGTACGAGGTATGAGGTAATTCCCATGACAATAGAGACGTGGGAGTAATTATATAGTGGAACAGTGTAAGAGGAGTGGGGCGACCGGCCGGCCCTTAGACATGACGCGCTGCATTCGAGCCGTTCAGTCTTGGCCCAAACGCTGACAGTGACGCGTCCGTACGATATACTTCCGTGCTGCTTCTCTGACAATTCGTGTCCACGTTTCGGTGCCGTGGCTCACAAGCAATCGATTGTTTGAGAATTTTAAACTCTGTTAAATTGTGACTATAAAATGGTGTCTTGTGCGCACTTGATTCTTCTGATCGTATTGCTTCACACGACGGTATGTTATTTATTTATCTACTTATTTGTACACACTTTTTTTTGGCACGGAGCTCATATTGGATCTGGCTCAGCAGTGCATTTATTTGAAAGTTCTGTGGAACATGTTTGGCGCTTGTGAACGGCTTGTATGATTTTGTTGAAGCTACGTATTGACGATTGCCTAAATGATGTTATCGTTACACGAATAAACGTTGAGTCGTTAGTATCAGTGATGATCAATATACTACATATCCTTTATTTTGGCGTTCTATCATTCTCGTAAAATCTTTATAATTTTTAAAATATAAATTACTCATTCAATATTTAGGACGTACGACAATATCAAGCCAACTCAATTACTACAGTTTAGTATATTGTGAATAGATTTCCAAACGACCGAGAGAACTAAAAGTGGGATAAGTTGAGTCGAAGTAAGACGAGTTTATTATCCGCCTACTTTATACGTTGGTGGCAGGTGCCTGTTGTGACGACCTTAGCTTGGCTGCAAGGCATACATATTCCCTCTCTTTCGCGTTGTGTGTTCCGCTCTCCATCGTCTTACTTCTTTTTTTCGCTCCCACTACCTTATGCAAAACATTACAACTTGTTTGTAACGGCTTAGTTATACGACTGTTTTCATACAAAAATTCATGGAATAAAAACGTTCAAACTGTCAAAAGACGCACGATTCAATGACACGAATACATTGTTTACACTACGCTTATATCAAGTTTTCAATTACTTAATATGAAGGTACAGTATATGGTGGGAATCTCCTACGCGTTCAAGTACTTTATTTGCTAGTTGTAGGCGAGCTCGAATATATTTATCACATTATTTTGAATGATTGATCAGTAAAAGTGTGCGAATAATCGTGAAAACGCATTATAAACAATGAACATTAAAAAGTTCCTGTGCGATCTTTATATAATTCTAACTAATAGTGCTTTTTTAGTTTTTTACTGTTGTAAATAAATGAAAAATAAAAATACTATCACGAAGTAACAATATATAATTTACATGATTGTTAACAAAAAATATTCGTGCAAGAAATTATTAATTCCTGTAATAGATTGATTGGGGAATTTGATTTAATTTTGAATCAATTCTAATAGAATCTTATATATATTTAGTCGTCATTACGTTGAATAGGTACTATATATTTGTTTTATTTAAAATATATTTTAAGTAAATTAAGTGTCGCGGTCGCGGCACGCAAGCGAGTTGGCATGGAATAGCTAAGAAGCCTAGCCGCATCCGACACTATATGTCAATAGGTTGGCGTTTTCGGGCTCCCCGAAAGTATTTCATAGTCTTTCCAATTCAAGTATTTATTTATTATTTTTTAATTTATTTAGTTATTTGTTTTTGGCTAAAGACTCATTATAAACATTTGAGTATTTCGACTCAACTTATACATGGATAATAATTATAGAAATATATTTATACATGAGTATTGAGGGCGCATTTGACTTTTAATTACACACTAGGTGTACTCAATACCAAGGCGATATATGTACATTTGGCTGAACGGAACCAGTCAAAGTTATCTTATACGTTTCTACTGAGAGTTCTTAATTTTAATACACCGGAAAGAAAATAAAAAAAAGCTGAAACATCGTTAGATTTTGAAGCGTTGAGAATTTTACGTAAAAACACTTTGAAATATTTATGACGTAAAGAATTATAAATTGGACGTTCGATTAGTAAGAGATAGTGTTTCTTTTGCATTGAAGTTACAAGATGAGCATATCTCTTTAGTGTCTATTTTATACAATTAATTTTTTAAGTACAAAGATAGATTCAGGGAGCCTGATAATCTGTAATCAGCCAGCATTCTCTTGTAGGACACAGGTAAAGGTAACAAAAGGTACGGTTCACATTGGAGCGAGTAAACATCTTTTAGATATTTGTTACGTGGGCAATAGCAAAGCTAATGGCTCTCTGTGTCTTTTTCGAAACTTAATATGCTCAAGCTGGCAAAAATATTCGATAATGCAAGTTCGATTTTTTTTGCATCCTCGCATTGTAGCAGGTAGTCATGGCCACCTTTTCCGATAAGTAAAGAGAATTGCGAAATCTAGTTGAGTTTCATTTTGTCCGGAGAGGTTTTGAGTAGTTCCTTCAGTCTGGCGTATATAATTTTAGGGTATCTTGAGGGTCCGTACCCGATAATTGTTATCCAGTATTGCAATGCTCTCAGAACGACTTCAGATTCTAAAGAAGTGGTACCAGTTTCTAAGCGGACAATATAACAAGACGTAGAGCGTGACAGTTGTAAAAAACGTTTTAAAAAGATTGACTGTATCTGCTCGATTTCTTGCACATGATTCTGGCCCCAAACACCAAAAGTACAGTAGATGATTCCAGTATCAAGTACTTTTTCATCTCAATATTATCAGTCATATAATTAAAACCTTCTAAAAATTATTTTATTAAAACAAATTTTTAATAAATTAAAAATACTTCTACAAAACTTTTATTTTTTGTATTACGTATATCAATAGTCTTGAATAAAAGTCGAACATCTACCACGAAGCATATCTTTTTTGAATTTCTGTTTATATCTCCAATATAAAATTCCGTTGTTATTTAAATGATTTCATACTATACGTTATCTTTTTATTATTCATTACATTTCTGATAAATTGAATATAAGACCGATTTCATTCATATGAATAATTTTTTTGCAGGTTATTAGTGTATCTCACAGTTGGCCTCACCGACAAATTTCATCTAAATTAGAAGGTGATTTTGATTATTATGGTTGGTAAATTTTTATAAAATTGATTCATAAAACTTATCAGTTCTTCAAAGTTACCGACTAATAATATTTGAATACTATCTCACCAATAACAAAATATTTATTATTTAAATAAGAATCTCCTTTGACTTTTTCGTGGCATAATTTCTATTAGTATTTTAATGATTATATGAAAAAAAATTAATTTAAAAAATAATGTAATAACAGAGCGATAATTTTCATTTTACTGGTAATTAAACTTTGTATAGATTTGTAATAAATTATTCACTCTAAATGGCTTGAAAAAATTATTTTTTATTTTTTAATAAATAGTTGCATTTTTTCTAACTGGAGAAGTCCAAAAATCTTTTTTATGAAATAAAAAAAATTATTTGATCATAATTTAGGTAATATAAGCCTTCTTAAAATAAATACTTGTATATCAATAATTATTTCTTTCCAAACTTGATAAATTCTAGTATAATAATTCAATTGTTTTTATTGCACAGATGATTATCAAGATGATGTTCCCAGCAGATCGGACGGCAAAATCATTTTCCCGACAGAAAAACCCGAGATTTCAATGCGACAGTACACGCCTCACAAACCATTATGCAATCATTCCACTTTCTGTGAAGACGTACCTAATTATCCGAATAATATAATCGATGTTGAGTTGAGAATGAACAAGGACTTAAAGTTACTTTCAGTATCTGACTCAGTAAGACATTTCGTGATATGCTTTTTAGTGCTTTTGATAAATTATGATTTGCAAAAACACTGCCTGATTGAATTATGTTTTTTTTATTACTAAAATACGATGCAATCAATTTCAGTTTCATAAACGGTAATTATAAGTATATTTGTTATTTTCGATAAATACTAAATGAAAAAGTGTTCATGAATAAGTTAAATTGTTGTAATAAAAAATTAAAATATAATCATTCATGGCGATTCTAAAAGAGATCTTTTTTGTTTATTGGAAAAGATTTTAAAGTTATTAATGCTTGAAACTACACCTAAGTAGTTATTACGAGTGAGAATAAAGAAACATAATAACATTTCTAATATAAAATTTATTAAGCAGATGAATTAAAAAATATTGTTAAATAGATTCAGCTATTACAAAATATTTATTTTTAGGTACCTGATGATATATCGAACCGAATGAACGGACCGTCCGAGGATAACTCATTGTGCGACTCTTACGTAAGTCTTTATTTATTTGGATAACAAGAGAACTAAATTGCGTGACTGATGAATCAAAGTTACATTTTTGACTTTCCATTAAAATTTACCGTTAAAAATTATGAATCCTTATTCACTTTTTTAGCCGAGACAAACGGAAAATATAAAATCATAAATTACAATAAAACATATCACTAAACATTCATTGAATACTTGAATCAAAAAATAGAAAAATACTTCAGACTATTACGATTAACACAATTAACATACTGAGTACTATATATTATATTCAGATTATAATTAATATTATGTTGTAGGAAAAGATTGTTTTTCCAAAGTCCGCCGAAAGTAAGAGTAAGGAGTGGTTTTTTATAGTGAATCAAGACAATTTCAGACAAGGAGTACGAGTAGAAATATGCGGGTACGTAAATGAACATTGTTAAACAAATTTGCTTTTGATTGGCGCCAATATTGAATCTAATAACTTTTTATGAGCATTTAATTGTTCTCTTTCCATTCAAAATTACAAACACGAACAGAGTATCGTAATGTACGTATTCTTTCAGAAATGAAAACAGCGTCTGCGACATGTTCGATGGTTTTTACGAAGGCTACAAAACTATATGCAAACAAAAGTATATTTACCGACAGTTAGTAGCACTATCACGTAATGGTCAAATGAAGCCAGAGACCTTTCGGTTTCCATCGAGTTGTTGTTGCCATATCAAATTCACAGGTGATTTGACTCTCCGAATGGGTCTGAATAAAAATAAAACTTCCACGTCTAAAACTTGAAAAAAATAATAACCTTTTGATATTATGTGATTTTCATATTCTGTGCGAAAAAATGTCTAACTAATGAGATTAGTTTGATTTTGTATATAATTAATATATGTACTTATTTTATACATAAAAAATTGATTATTAAAATGATTACATAGCATTTAAGTTATCTTGCAAAACATTTGCTTCAAAATTGAAACTAAATTTAAGAAAAAATGACTTCATTGTAACTATTCAATGTTCAATAAATATCTAACTACGATCAAAACAGCAAATAAAGATTTAGAATGTTGTCGGTTAAAAGTTGATTACTACTTTTAAATGTTTTTTTAGATAATGCATAATTGGAACAAATTATTTCGTAATTCAAATATTTCTAGCTTTCTCAACTTAGATCAACAACTGTTCAACTTACATCGATTCACGTTGCGATTAAAAGGAATGTAGGAAATTTTATGGTTTTCTTACGAGGTTATTATTACTGAAGTTTATAAATTCAATCTAGAAATTGAGGGCTCTTTTGAGGATTGATTGTTTCAGGTATAATACTTCAAAGCCTATGTTTATAATTCATCTGCTGTCGTTTCTATCATTAATTTTGACTAACCCGTAATGAACAGATATAATTTTTTTTATTAAATGAAATGTTAATTTCCATGCCTAATGATATACAAAAAGAATTGTTTCTATTCCAGTATACAGTTTCTAATGTGCAGTATATAACAATTAGATAAATTTTTGGTAGTACTCGTTCGTGTTACAAACTATCTATTTGGTACATATTGTTTATAGTATAATAATTATATGATATTATTCAAAAACGTAAATGAATAGTATAGTATAGCCGTCAGTGCTATACCTGTGTAAACTGCATGACAACTGTGTAAACTATGTATAACCTTCCATAATTACTGTTATTTATCAAATGGAAATAAAGTCCTTGTAACAAACAGTTAAATGTTTTACGTAATACACACCTAATCGTTGTTAATTGACCACATATATCTTCATTGGAAAATAAGAAATATGCTAATTTTCGAAATTATTTATATATAACAAATTTGTATGATTAACAAAAAAAATCACGAAAATATTATATATGCATATAGAAATGATAGTTGAATTTATTATTATTATTATTATTATTATTATTATTATTATTCAAGTATATATCAACAACTTTAGATTTATAAGTCTCACGTCAAAATGGAAAACTGTACGGAAGTTGCTAAGAGTTCACTGGCGGTAATTATTCAGACTATATACCTATAATCTTAATCATATAATCTACGGTTATATAGACATATATACATGTATTTACAATTGTTTTTATTCTATAGCAATCGGAATGTATAATATTAATACACAATTAATGAATTTTTATTAATAATTTTATTAATTAATTTGATTGAAAAGAAACATTACTGTTTCATAGACAGTAGTTTTTTTATATTAAAATGCATTTGCTATTCCCCTACTTTTTTTCTATATGCTATGAATCTAACTAAAATTCATTATTCGACTAGAGAATATACTTTCTTTACTATTACCTTTATTTTTATATAACTGCGTTACAGCAAGTAAAGAGAATTCAATGAATATATTTAATAAAAGAAATAGCCTTCAATGAAATGCCTAAATGAAGAATTCATAAGTAGATTGTACTTATCATAAAAAGCCTATGTTGACATTTTTGCTGCTTTCGATAGTGCTGTTCAAATTCTATATGTAATAGCTTAACTATCATATATACAATAAGAGTCCTTAAATTAATATACAGAAATTGCTGTTTTATATATTATAAATATAAACGAAATGTTTATATTTTTCAAGTTTTGAATGATCTTTATATCGGTCTCAATACATCTGAGTACATCATAAGTAGCATTACTGATGTAATTTAAGGCAATTAGTTTTCTAGAAATGTATAAATAACTGCTACCTTGAACTGTTTCACGCATTCTATAAATGATTATTTAGGATGAAATTATAATATTTTAGTAATTCATGATATATGGTTTTGGAATTGGATATCGAGCAGAGGGTTTTTACATTTGCTCCGAATCATATGTGCAAATCTACCATAAATAAATTGACGAGGATCTATGACTCACTTAAGAGTATTCTGATTTACAATTAATCTATATAATTTATAGCAGGTATTCTCGAGAATGAAAATGACATTTTCAGACAATATGAATGTCATTGTTAATATTAATTTATGTCTCCATTTATGACATTGCTTAATAATGTTATTTATATAAGCTCATAGTTGCATTAACCAACACGATTTATCATGTTTAAATAATCTCTAGTACAATATAGAACAATGTTCTTAACGCAAAATAGTACATTACTATACTATTTTTTTTATTCCCGGAAAAAAGTACGGTTTTTTATTTATATAGAAAATTTTGGTGGCCTGTACGACCCAAGGCTGAAAAATTATTGGCAAGTCCATAGTGCGTATAAATGGACAACTAAGGGTAAACCAATAACCTAATAATACTTTCGTGGCCTTGACTTGTAATCTATTATTTGTAATGCTATATTATGCGACAATCAAGAAAGAATATATAACTATTACTTAATAATTGATTGGTTCGTTGTTCCTTCGTCGGAATCATCAACCAGTCAATAACTAAGTGTTCATTATTAATCATTTTCTTCTATCCATATACCTAATTTATAAGCAAATGTAATTGAGTAAATATAACTGCATGTTATTCTAAAAATCCCATAATAATTTATTTATTTATCTAATGCTCGCTTAAAAAGTCTTTGAAAAAGTATTAGTACATTATAAGGATAAATAAAAGAAATCTGATTTCATTGTTAGATATAAGAATGTAAATCTTTCTCGTGTTATGAGATAGTGTGTGATTTAACGACAAGATCTTGGAATTTATAAATAGCTTTCATTATCTACTTATCAATTAAATCAATGTGAGTCTGGATAATAAATAATTGATAGTGACTAAATTGTGGGAAAATTGACTAATACATCTGATAAAATTAAAACAGATATATGAAAGTTTGACGCATCGTCGTCTCGATCGTCTTTGCAGTATCTTCTTGACTTACTGGTAAGAATGTCGGGAAAGTCAATTTTTGACAGTTTCAGTAGTGATGTAGAAAATCCTTTAAAAATTACTTACTCCAAGGTCAGTCATATTTTTCATGACTTAATAACGTACGATGAAGTTAAAAACCTAGTGAAAAGGGCAGTTTCATTAGACGCTAAACTTGTCAATTATCATTTACGTCATTACTCGGAGGAAAAGATTGGATTTCTCGGCTCACATTTATGTCTTGTCGTAAATTACCGAAGATGCGGTCATCACGAGAATGAAATGCGAAGTTTTTTTCTTAAAACATTACCATTTGATGTTCCTTCGCAGGCCGCTTACATTCAAGAAGCAGGATACTTTCAAAAGGAAACAGAATGTTTTAGACTTCTAATACCACTCATGATAAATAATTATAAAGGGAAAAGTTGGGCACCGAAATGTTACATAATAAAGGATTATGTTTTAGTTTTTGAAGATTTGAAAATTAATGGCTTCTCAAATCAATCAAGAATTTTTAACGAAAAAACCGTTAAAGCAGCTTTGGCATGTATTGCTCGGTTTCATGCTTCCTCTTTGCTCACTGAGGAACATACTCAAGGTATGTATTTATCATTGATATATTTTAAATATTAAAAAAAATTTTTGTTTTTGAACAGTAAATATTTCTTATGTTTCTTCCAAATTTTTTGTTGTCAACACAAGTATTGTGCGGTGGGAATTTGTCTTAAAAGAACAATCGTTGCAGGTAAATCACTTAAGGACTTATTTCCAACTTTATTGAAGGAGTCGCAATTTAAGCGGATTGGTTTGAGTTACACATGGTACTCAGTAGCCATCAATTTAGCAGTTGCCATTGCAGACGAGCTGGGTCTTGACTCAAGCAACATCAGACAAGCGAGTGAGCGAATTTTTGACATAGGCGAACCCTCACAAACGAAACGCAACGTTGTAAGCCACGGAGACCTTTGGAGCAACAACATGGTATTCGATGACAATGGCCGATGCAATCTTGTTGATTTCCAATTGATTCGCTACTCACCTCTGGCTCATGATGTTATGCAACTTTTATACCTATGCACCTCCAAGGAATTTAGACGAAAAAACGAACGTCGGATGATTGAATATTACTACGGAATTCTCACAGATACGCTAAGACTGAATAATTTCAAAGGCAACATGATTAGTTTGGAAGAAGTGGTACAAGGCGCCGAGGAGCAAAGATTCGCCGCTCTCGTCACTGCTGTTATTTTTCATCCTACGGTGCTTATGGACGGTAAAACTGCGGGAAATATCATGAATGACACAGCCGCTTACGAATCCTATTATTTCAAAAATAGGAAACCTTTTGTAGATGAGATTATGGCTAATAATGATGATTACCGTGACAGACTCATTGAAGATGTAAATGAACTTGTTGAATTATCTTTGAAAGTTGACAATTTACCGAGACCAACATGATGAATTAATTAGAATTGATAAGATTACAATACATTAGCTTTTTAAACAGTACTTTACAAATGAAAATATTAAGTTTATAATTTGTGTATTTTTACGCTGATTTTATAATTTGAAGCTTTATCATTTTTTAAATTATTTAGGTTTCAAAATTTCCAATCCTGTGAACAAGAGTTGTATATTCCTCTGTAGACATGGTATAATCACCCCCTGGCTACTTACAGAACTGCGTGATATAAACCTGAAAAACAAATATTTACTCTAACCAATAAGTATAAACAGTTATCACGATTCTGTTCAATAAACGAAAAATAAATAGCGATTTCCTACTATAATTCGGTCACGTTTTTTCAAATTTTTAATTTGAGAATACACTCCTAATTCTTTTATATTTTTATATGTTATGAGTTCAGGAACCTAAAAAAAATATACCCCTTTTCAGAAATGCCTTGATACTTTTTTTGCGAATAAAAATCCGAAAAATAATCAATAATTTTGCTTTCCTTATCATGTTTGATTTATTATGTTTCTTTTATTTAAAGGTACGTTTTCATAACCTAAATTGTTCCTTTTGAGTTGAAGGAATGTAATATCGAAAAACCGTGCTAGAATTGAAACGTTAAAATCGACGTTTCTTATAAATGACCCCTGATGAACATGCCCTTATTCACCAGCTGAATCGGTGCCGGATGCCGGATCAGCAATGCCCATACGAAAATGTATTTTACGATAAACATGACATTTTTTTTATTTATACTTATGGTATTTTTATATGACAAATTATATCAAGTACAATTCTTTAACTATGTTTTATACCTTTTTATCGCGGTTGTCTTTTTTTCATAAAATATTTTTTTATAATATCGTATATAACACAATTTTTTAATAAAATTATATCGTCAAATTCAAAAGAAATAATCTCGTTTCGACTTCGCCTTGCTTCTTACTTCTCATGTGCTGTATAGACTTTCCAATACTTTCCTGGCTTGGGTACGTAATCTGCAAGAGCTATTTAAATCAAAATGTGACTGCATCGAACATTTATTTTTTTATGAACAACTTGTTTGTAAACAACAAGATGTTGAAAACTAGAAAAATACAATTTTTTTTTGAAATCAATATCATAAATATATACGGTATGGTATGTATTTAAAAGAAAAGATTTATATTAAAATCTTTATATATCACTGAAATATGAATTATCACAAAAAATCCATTAGTTTTAAAAATTTAGACCTGATAATTTTTAGGTCACAATATTAACATTTTCATATAAGCAATCAGCATGCCACGATTTAGCAGATTTAACGATGTTCGTTTTAGGGAAGATATATATCATAAGCGGTTGTCTTGTAGTTGGCAATGTCCGCTAAATGGAAGATCATCGAAATGACCCTTCAGGCAGTCGACCGTCTGATGGTAATTAAAAGACTTTTATGAATTCGATTCGGCAATCTGATATTTGCCAAGGGAATTGGCATTGAGAATAAATACTGCGTAGTGAAAGTAATAAAGAGGAGAGACAATTTGATCCCATACTCCAATTCTAATTTTTCACATTATTGATTTACAATGTATGTTCCCAGGAGTCTACCAATTACTTCGAGAAGCGCCTAAATTGATAACAATCAGTTTTTCGACTGTCGGCAGACGGCCAATTGTATTCGAACGAAGTCTAGTAGCGGACGAATTAGGTCATTTCGATGATGCAATCTTCGATCTGTCGAGCATCTGCCAATTACCGCGACAATCGTCTGACTGCCATCTGCTTACGTCATACACTCTTTCTGATTTTCACTTTCGAAAGTTCAAATTATCAGACTATCGAGGTTTAAATTTACTTCTCTGTACTTATGATAAACGTGACATTTTTTTAATTTATACTTATGGTATTGTTATATGACAAATTATATCAAGTACAATTCTTTAACTATGTTGGAGATACAATTTCATCGAGATATAAGAAGTGAAATCTTTTGTGTTATCTTAAAATCTTACTCGAAGAATGCAATGTCGTACTCTATTTAATAATAGGATTGCAAATGGTTTCCATTTGATTTTTCTCTAATGTAGTATTATCTATCATTCTAAAATATACTGTTATCTGGAAACTGTTGTTATGAGGGCCATTGTTCTTAAAATAAAAACAATTTATGTAATTAAGAAGTTAATATATGTAATAATGATAACATTTGAAAAGGAACATTAATACATTTACATAAATAGCTAGTTGTAACTCAGGAACGACATTACTTTTATCTTACTCATATACAATCATAATATTATTTAATATAGCGTATCTTCAAACATACCTACTATTGCTCGGAACGTTTAAAAATCTCGAATTCCAGTAAAAACATTCAATACAGAGAGATATAATTATTATATAATAAACTACATAGTAATGTTTAATGAATAAATAAAAATTGATATAACCAAATAATACTTATTTTTTATCTGCCTTTATGAGCATAAAAGTGAGGATGGAAGAATTTCGCAATGATCGGTTGAGTTAAAAATATTTTAAAGATATTCTTCAAAAATGATATAATATACATTCACATTACATATAAATAATATATTGCCTTCGTTCTGAGCTTTGTTTTATAAAATTCGATAGTTTATTAGAAATAAAAAATATCGGAAAACGTTATTTTGAAAAATAATTGATCGATAAACTGAAATATAGGAAAACAAAATATCGGAAATGCAATTTATTGATAAATGAAATATTGGAAACGTAATTTTTCAGAATATATATTATTGGAACTAAAAAATATAGGAATGTGGAATTACGGAAACGCAGATGTTCGGATATTATTTTTTCGGAACGTCAAAAATTCAGAAAGCTATTTTAACGTTATTGTCCATAATTTATTGAAAATAAATATGTCTGACTTAATATATCTACTCTAAAATGCTTAATCAATAAATTATTGAAAGATAGAAACGTCGTAGTATTCGTAACAAGCTTTTATATACACTGCCCGTCAATCACTTTTGCCATGCTTACCTCAAAATTAGGCAAACTTGAAAGTTTTGTATCTCGGTCGGAAATCATCGTATCACAAAAAACCGCAGGGTATTTTAAAGGTAATTGCAAAAGCTTCCATTTAAGATGTGCAGAGACTTAAAAATGAAAATATGTGTTTTTTACAGTAAAAAAACTGATTAAAAAAATTTCAATTTTTTTAACCTCGACTTAAATCAATGCCAATTTAGAACCAGGCGGTGGAGGGCAAATCGACCGGAGGAGTTCGGAGGGTAATGTCTTTCCCTTTAAAATTAGCCTCCGCGGGGTTCTATCCGATGTTTTTTAACCGAGTTACGGCGTTTTTTGTAAAAAAATAACCTTTTTTTTCAATCCTCAATAAATTCGACTTGCGTACGTTTTGGAAAAAATGCCAAGGAGAAAAAAGTTTCATTTTGTGCCCAAGAATACGAAAATAAAGTCAAAATAAAGAAATAGAGAAAAAATTTTTTTTCGGTTTTTTAGCGCATTAAAAAAATAAAGGAATTTAACTTTTTTTTTACGCTTCGTTTTAAAATGTCTAGGGACGTAGTAAATCACAAAAAAACTAAAACTAAAAGAGACTTCATTATTTTAACTGCACATTTCATATACCAAGAGTACTGCAAAATGGCCGAGGTCAAAAGACCCTTCTATCTACTATTTTCTATTGAATAATACCATAATTAATTAACTAATTATTATTGATTTCCATATATACACGTACATGGATTTATTCATATAAATACAAGTATACGAGGGTCGTTTGAAAAGTCCGTGCAAAAATAAAAACTGCTTGATTTTTTTTTTAAATCTTTTTTATTTTTCAACATAGTCTCCTTTTAGGCTTATACACTTCATCCAACGCTGCTCTAGTTTGTTAATCCCTTCCAAATAATAGGATTTGTCCAAGTCTGTAAAATAGGCATTCGTTTCTACAATCACCTTCTCGTTTGAATAAAATCTTTTCCCCACCAGCCATTTTTTCATATTAGGGAACAAATAGTAGTCCGACGGAGCCAAGTCTGGAGAATAGGGGGGATGTGAAACGAGTTGGAACCCTATCTCCATCAGTTTTGCGGCCACAACTGCTGAGACGTGAGCTGGCGCATTGTCGTGGTGGAAGAGGAATTTTTTGTGGGCCAATCGTGGACATTTCTCTAGCAACTCGGTTTTCAAACGATGAATAATATTCGCCTGTAATGGTTTTACCCTTCTCCAGATAGTCGATGAAGATTATTCCTTGCGAATCTTAAAAGACAGTCGCCATAACCTTCCCGGCCGAAGGAATTGTCTTCGCCTTTTTCGGAGCAGATTCCCCCTTGGTAACCTATTGTTTAGACTGTTCTTTGGTCTCAGGAGTGTAGTGATGTATCCATGTTTCATCTACAGTGATGAAACGACGCTTAAAGTCTTGCGGATTTTGCTGGAACAGCTGCAAACCATTCTTGCAACACTTCACACGATCTCGTTTTTGGTCAATCGTGAGCAATCGCGGCACCCATCTAGCGGATAGCTTTTTTGGTGCAAAATATTATGTACCCGTTCGCTCGAGATGCCTACAGTACTAGCAATCTCACGCACCTCCACTCTTCTGTCAGCCATCACCATATCATGGATTTTATGAATGATTTCTGAAGTGATAACCTCAACAGGGCGTCCAGAACGTTCAGCGTCTTTTGTGCTCATATGGCCACTCCGAAAATTTTGAAACCATTTATAAACCATTCTAATCGAAGGTGCACAATCACCATAATGTTTATCAAGCTTCTGTTTAATCTCCTGAGGCGTTTTGCTTTTGAAAAAGTAATGTTTAATCAATACACGAAATTCTTTTTCGTCCATTTTTTTACAACCACTCGATTTCTTTGATTGAAACGAATGTAAAACGCAAAGTAATTGGCCGATCTGGCTGAAACTTGGTGTGTGCTCTTCCAAGATATGCCACTAACTGAAAATAACCTTGATACGCACTAGTAGCGCCATTTCTCTGACTTTGCACGGACTTTTCAAACGACCCTCGTATTTAGGTCTAGCGAATAAATTGGTAAAACAGCGTAAGTAGATGATTTTATATACATATATACATGTAATTAAGTTGAATATTTATTTACTAAATTTATTTCATAGCTATTACTTGTCATTTCGTAGCTAAATAGTGCAATACTTTATGAGTGTGAACCATTATAGTTTTTTAAAGGAAAGCACCTTACATATTATGAATATATATTGAGATATAGTTGGCTGAGGGCATTAATATAACTTAAAAACAAATTGAACTAATTTCCATTAACTCTCATGCGGGAGACAATCCCCCAGCGGGAATCAATGGTCTTTTTTCAAAGAGAGCATGTTCTGAAATCAACACAGCGGTTTCTAAGTCATTCGGATTCGAATTGTAAATAAACACTAGGTCCATGAAATCGTGAACTTACAAACC